TCACTCTCGTAATTTTCCACGTCTAATTCTAATGATTCTGCACTCCATTGTAACCAGCTTTTCTTTGCCTTTTCCTGAGGAAAAATTACAAATATAAGCTTAAGAATGATAACACAAATAAACCAAATCTTTAAATGAATATAAACAAACAAGATTTATAAATCGCAAGAAAAAAAGAAAATTCCCTAGAGCCAGTGTTGCTTTTACACCTTTCTTACTAGGGAGTAGAGAACAATGGAATCATAAAAATTAACTTCAGAGAATTATAAACTCAGCTAACTATGATATTCTGATTTAATCAATAAACATTGTCAAGGAGGGGAAAAGAAAGTGTAAGAAATAGGACTTCAAATTCAACATATAGGGAGAAAAAGAAAAAGGTTAAAAAGTAGTGGTCAACAGAGTCTGACACACCAGCAGTTAGAGTTTACTATGACAGAATGAATTACTGGTAAACTGTTGACAAATTGGTTTCACCAGATAACAAGCAACCAACGGCAGTGACATGTTAGCTAGGTTAAAAAGGGAGAGGAAGAGAGGCAGATACACAAAGTAAGGACCAACAAAGCTCACTGCTGTAAGCCTATAACCATATATAAGAAAATTCAAATAGGCACATTAAACATACATACCTGGGATTCCTTCCACATTATCTTGTCTATTTGACGTGCAAGAGATAGATAGCTTGTGAGCTCTGGCATGTATGAGCTTTCTAAAGGAAATCTTTTGATACTTTCCTGTGCATAGAACCAATGTAATGCTAAAACATGCAAGTAAACACTAAATGCTAAATTGGACTAATAAGTAATAACTACATACAGAAAAACGATGACTAAGTCAAAGTATAAAGTAGTAACTAAATCCAGTTCCCCACACTTTTGGCTATCATTTTCAATATCATTAAGAGTGTGGGAAGCCTTAGAGGAGGATAGGGAACTTTCTTCCGAAGAATAGTACCTTAAGGAATGATCTGCACAAAGAGGCAAACTTTGACTAATCATTTGGTGAGATGAGAGCAATGTTGCATCCATCTGCAGATGTTCTAGTAGTTCTTCCACTTCTGTGAACATAGACCTAACAGAAAAGGATAAATCAATATCCAGTTAGAGAGTCTGCAAAAACATTAACAAAACCTTGTGAAAAGGCATGGCAATCTTTACTCACATCTGCTGAATGAGGAAGCTGATAGTGAATTACAGTTCGTACACCAGGAATATCAAGACCTCTTGCTGCAACATAAGTGGCAACAAGAATACCATTTTCATTTGCTTGAAAATGATCAATGGCCTGCAGCAAATATAAGAATCAGAAGACAATCAAGTTGTTATGTTTTGACAAGTCTTTTAAGTCCCTAGCTTACATCTTTCTAATGTATAATGAAAATGTATGTTGTTAATACACTGACTAAACCTATAATCTAAATCTTTATAATTCTACCACCCATGGGCAAAGCATAATTCACTGGACACTCATTTATTGAACACTCTATAGTCTGTAAGTTCAATTGTATAATATTTTATAATCATATGTAACAAGGAGAAAAGAAACACCTTCAAGCGAGCTTGCTGCTGCATCTGAGCATGAAGAGTTGATACATTGATGCCAAGTATTCGCAACAGGGAAGAAATATTGCACAAAGCAGCAATTGATGTACATAAAACAATTGTGCGCCCCTGTCCATGTATACTCAAGATATAATATAAATAGGCATCCTTATCTTCCTCTGAGCAGCTGTAGCATATTTGTGAGTAAGCATGATTCAATAAGTAGGTAGAAATTACATTAAAATGAGAAAAGGGGGGAACATATGGAACATAATAATGCCTTTACTCATAAATGCAGAAACTTTATTCTACCAGGAAGGTGAAAGTGTGATATTCCATATTCAGTTATGACAAGGAACTAGACATGCACAGGTAGAATAGCAACTCAAAAGGGCAATAATGCATAATTTATACTTTCCAGAAATTTTGTCAAGTAATGGTCTTATGTTACCAATAGAATTTAGCAACTCTTTTTGGACTTATACCTGAAGCAGAAAACTAAAGGGCAATAAGGACATTTTAAGCATAAGGACAAAGTGGAAAAGACTTCTAGGTTTAGTGAGTTCTGAGTTCCAATAACCATACGGGTAAGCAATCTCCGCACATGCATAGAAAAGAATCCAATATTGTTCCATGCTTCAAAGTGTACCCTGATCGATGCTATACCAGCCCAGCATGAATAGCTCAAACTAAGAAGAATCTTGACAATATTTGTATTAGTTCTCCACAAAGCAAAACAGAATATTCTATGTAAGCCAAGGCACATATTTTAGGAACAACAATGGTTAACATCCCACAAAGGATTGAGGTGTATTCAAATCTACTTCCACATTTTTACAATCATATCAATCAACCCCATGTTGGATTGAGGAGTTCCAACAAGCATATTTGGGCACATTAAATTTCTCAACTAACAAATAGGCTTAGAGAATTAGTATCTCCTGAACAACAGCAGCAGAGAACACAAATCAAACTCTCAAAGCTAAAACCTTATAAACCTCTGTGTCCTCCCAATTCATGATTTTTAAGTGAAAAAAAGAAAAAAGAAAAAAGAAGAAGCTGATATCTTTGAGCAAAAAGGGCATTAATTTAGTAAAAATTCAATATTTTCAGAATGAGAAAACAGAAATTTTGAACCTCAGCAACAGAAAACGCCTATGAACTAAACTGAAAGCAATCAAGCAACCGCATTAGCCCATGACTTCCCAGTTCCTTCCTTACAACCTTAGAAAGAATATCCAAACAGATATCATATTGATTATAGCTACAATACTGAGTTTTTTCATTGGCTTTTTCTGTGAGTAAAGATCCTAACCTCCATCGAGCTCGCCGGAACCAAAGAAAAGAGAGAATGTCTCGTCTTGATTATCAGGGAGAGAAGTGTTCCAACGGAGTGAGTCGAGTCGGTCGAGTTCTGGGTCACTGTTTGTTCGCTTTCTCTTTTGCTTCTTCTTCTGCTTCGCGAGGGAGGGCTGTTCCTGCTGTTGCGGCGGTGAAGCGGCAGCCATTGTAACGAAAGCTTCAAGCTTTTCGCGGGCCTTTAGCTGAAAATTCCGAACACTCTTAAAAATTCCGAATAATATTTAAATCTATTTTTAACGTTAGTTTTAACATATTAATAAAAATTTGTATGTGCTCCTCAATCTTCTACGAGTAGTTGAATTGTATCCTTCAACTTTTTAATTGCTGTAATTAGACCTCTAAAACTAAAGTAAAGTTCTCTTTATATTATGTTCCATTTGCTTTTTTTTTTTTGTTTTTTTTATCTTTGTTGCACAATGTGAAACAACCATCTTTCATCTCTTATTTCACTACATTTGCATATTATACGATTCAAACTCAATATCACTTATTTTCAGTGAAAGGAGATTATTATTAAATTACTTATGTTTTATTTGTTATGAATTAATTTATTATGGATATTTCACTTTCTTCAGCTTCTCACCTCCCCACTTTCTATATCATTTACACAACAAATAATTATGTAACTTCCACTACTTCCATGTAATTATAATTGTGATTAGCACTTCATAATATCATACATTTAAATGGTAATAATAAGATTCCTTGTAACCTCTCAATTAATAAGAGATTAATTCTTGTAACCTCTCATTTAGTGAGTGTTATTTCTTATTACTCCTATCCCTTATTAGCCCTTATATACAGGACTTGTACACTTGCAAATGTATAGAAATGTATGGAAAACAAATAGAGAACAAATAAAGGACAAATGAAGAACAAATGGAGAAAAAGAAATAAAAATATAATATATTTTTATATTATCTCATTTTATCTCTTTAATTTTTCTTCTTCTTCTAATTGATTTTTTATTTTTATAACACCATTTAACTAGTTAATTTTTGTCAATTAGATCCATTGAGCTAGATTAGAGCATGCAAGATGTATGCAACAAGGGAGAGATAGGAATTAAAAATATCATATTTAAATTAAATAATATGCATCTTATGGTTACAATTTGTCTTCTAAAAATAGTAGTAAAAAAAAAAAAGAAGAAGCAAAAACAAAGATGAAAATTAAGGGTGAAGGACTTGATTACAACAGTTAAGAGGTTGAGAACCCAACTAAGCTAAAATTGAAAAGTATTAGCACTATTCCCCCAATTTCAAACTATTTTTTATTTTAAATTGTATTTTTCATCTCCTTTAACT